TCCCTCCCGTTGTAATCCACCAGGAGCCCATCATAGGAGCCACGACTCTAACCTATGGACACCATGAAGGTGTTCAACCCACCAGATTTTTTCCAGGGGGCGAGGTAGAACCCCATAGTTGCAGAATAGAAAACAGAAATCTGGAAGTTTAATTTACAAGCCTCTTTTTCCTGCCTGATGTCGCAACTCAGAATCAGCTCTGTTATGGAATCCAGGTTCCTGGCAGGCTCATTAACCTCTTCCCCACACCCCATGGGCTCAGGTGTTTCCCCTCCCTCAGCACCCATAGCATTTCATCACAACCCTCTGAAAAGATTGGCATAGGATGGGAGAGTTGATCTGCATTATGTAAAATCCTTGGTTCTTTGGGTCAGATCCCTAAGATTAGAGACCCATCCTGAGATGTGAAATGAAAAACCACAAACACTTGTAAAACAGGAAAAGGGAAGTTTTAATAGGAAAGTGAGGATTTTTAATAGGAAAGAAGTCCACCTCCGTACCCGAAAGGCATGCAAGTGGGCAGCTGCCAGAGAAGGACAACTGCTCTGGGCATGAGTTTAGGTGTTAAGTTTATTCTAAGAGTGAATAATGACTATTTAGCAGGAGGAAGTCTGTCATAGTATTTGGCTTTTTTATTTGCATTTGCGGCCTTTTTCCTGCCCTTGTGTATCTCTCTCACAGGTGAGGAATTCATTGACCTAGTCCTGTGTGCTCAGTGTGGACTTAGGAGATGTGAACACCCTTATTTGAATGAACTGCCCAATTAGTTTATTGTCCCAGTGGGAATCAGGATGTTGACCAAAAACCTCTTGTTGGGACCTTTTGAATTTGTGAGGAATTATAAGAGGGAAATTTACAACTATCCCTGTGTGTCTTCCTCATGTACCGAAGAAAGAAAATAAGATCTGCCTTGCCTTCCTGTCGCCATGGGCTGGGTGGGAGGAAGGAGTCTGCAGAGGTCTGGTGGTAACTCCTGATTAGTTGTGATTGATGTGGCTGATGTCCTGCTATTTTCTTAGGGTTACCCACTCATTTCTAGCTAACGCCTATCACAAGATCATCTTTTGCCTTGATCTTTCTACCATGATGCGTCTGTCCCCTAATCTACTAGACTCTAAACTCCTGAATGGTGAAGACCACGGTGAAACTTTTCCTTTACTCTACACATTTTCCTGTCCTCCCGTTGTCTTTCAACGAATACTAAATGAAAATCTTAAAAATAGTGAACACAACCACACATGGCACACAGAGCCACTCATCAGCCATTCGTGTATGTTTATGTATTTTATTCATTTATTCAACAAGGAACAGAGAGGAGGTAAATTTTTAAAAACCAAGGCTCCTATCTTCATGAAATGTATAGTGTAATTATAACGAACGTCACACTTTGCATGCATAGTTCCTAAAGAGCTAAATTAGTGCTCACTTCAGCAGCACATATGCTAAAATTGGAACATACAGGGAAGACGTATCCTCTGCGCAAGGATGACACCAAAATTTGTGAAGTGTTCCACATTTTTTCAGCCCAAGCTTGGCATGAACCCCACCAAAAAAAAAACATTTATACACACACACACATAGACATTTATATATGAACATACATATGACTAAATTATATCCCTCAGATTCCCTGTGTATCAAGGGTTTCTGTGCTCCTCTCCTAAAGCAGCTTTTCAGGTTCTCTTTGTTCAAACTTATTTAAATAATTAAAGCATGTTAAAATTATGTCAGAATGGGAACCAGCAGTTAGCGTAATGGCTATGTTGCTGGACTCCCACATAGTCGACCACGGTTTGCATCCCGGACCCAGTGGCTTAAACTCACACCGGGCGCGTGTGTGTGTGTGCCCAAGATCCCAAGAGGAGAATGGAGGAGAAGGGATTGCGGCATGACCATCCCCTCTGGGATGTGATTTCTTGCTTTCTGTCTCTATGTCTCTCTCTCTCTCTGTCTGGCAAGTGCACGCGCCCTATAGCGAAAAATACCTCTCCAAAAAAAAAAAATCAGTTGTAAATGGGTAGTCTGTTATGTGGTTAACAGAAATACCTGTGATTAGGTGATTTACCAAAAAATAGAGGTTTATTGACTCATGATTCTGGCAGCTGGGACATGACTGACAGAGCAGAGTGACTAGAGGGAGCGTGCAGAGAGAGCCACTTTTGCAAGAGCTAAGCGCTACTCACCAACACTAGAATCCCGGATCTCACAAAGTGTCACTAGTCTATTCTAGAGAGTGTTGCCTCCAGGGATCTAGTCACCACCCACTAGGCCTCACTAGACTCTGTGATCCAATCGTTGCCTATTAGACAGCACGTCTCAAATTCTGTCACACTGGGGGCCAAATTTTAAAACATAACCCTTTGGGGACCAGCAGATAGCATGGCAGTTATGTCACTGGACTTCCACATGGTCAACTACGGTTTGAGTCCCAGACCTGGTGGCTTGAACCTCATGTTGGGTGCATGTGCATGCGTGCCCAAGATCCCAGAAGGAAACTGGAGGAGAAAGAATTGCAGCATGGCTGTCCCCTCTGGTGGTGGGGGTGGTGATTTCTCATTTTCCCTCTCACTGTGTCTGTCTCTGACTCTCGGGAGAACACACACACCCTAAGGCAAAAACTTCTTAAAAAAAAAAAAATGAACCCTTGACGGCAAGCTATTATCCAACCTACAACAGAGGGGTTTTCAACAAATGCATGGAGAATGTGTATTAGGAGTAAACTATGTGTGGATTTCAAATTTTTTACAACAAAATAAACTCATACTGTAATTCCATTTTCCACAAACTTTTGGAAGTCCCTGCATATCATGTCATGGGAATGTGCCTCTTTACTGGTAAATTTCCATAAACCAGCTTTATATTCTGCCCCTTGTTAACTCAACACCCTCAGGATCCATGCCCAGACATAATCACCCTGCTGTGAGCCAGGTCCTACAGGGCCTGAGGCATATACTATTTTCCTCCTTTTATAACCCCAGAACTTCCTTGGAGATGAAGTGTGACCTAGAAGAGGCCTCTAGTTTCCAAGGAAAGGTGACCTCTATCTTTCAGCAATACAGAGGGTGCACTTCTGCCAACCCAGAAGGTTCAGGAGTACCTGAGGTTCTCAAATCTATCCAGAGAGCCCAACCCCAAGTGTCAAGTTCTATTCCTTCCCTATCAAGGCCCTGACTTTGGCATTGGAGATTTGATTAGGCTGAGAATTCCAGCCTTCTACAGAGTTCTGCCAACTCTGACCGCTAAGGCCTACACCTGGTTTTCAGTTCCGGCTGCCCTCCAGCTACAGGTGAGAATCTCTTATTGCTAACGAAGCCTTCTGACTCTCAGTGTTGCCTGCTTAGCCACCAATTCTACAGCCCTTACAGTAATTTCTCCCTTATTTCTCAAACACCAGAGACTGCACAAGCTAGTACAGTCCCTTTCGCCCCATCCTTCCCTAGACTACCAATACTCCACCTGTAACTAGGAAAGAGATGGTCTCATTGCCATCCTGCCATTGAATAAGCCATCTTCAAAATCACATCTTTAGAGTCTGCTTCCTAGGACCAACTCTCTCAAGGGGCTTCCTAGAAATAGAACCTGAAGCAGGAGCCTTGTGCAGTTTTTTCGTTTGCTTTGTTTTGTTTTATTTTCGAGGATATGTTCTCAAGAAAAGGAGCATACAGGAAGCAGAATATATAGCTAAGAACAAAAAGTTAAGGACATGGTCTCAGCTGGAGTCTAGCTTCAGCCTGACCCCATGGGGGAGCTCTGGCTCATGAATTACCCCACAGTTACTCAACCATGAGGCAAGGGTGTTGATATTCTTATATTACGGATATTCCTGTATCAGGCAGTTATCAGCAGGAGGCTGCCTGAGAGTTTGGTTGCAAATCCAGCGGGGCATGGACACTCCCATTTGGCTGAGGAGAATCCTCTGAGAAAAGGGTCAACCATAAGCCATTAGTAGTCAAAACTCACAGAGCAGGATGATGGGGCCCAACAGCATTCACTACAGACACATTGTAAGTGCTAAGGTAATGCTGGCAGTATAATGTATGAATGTGTACATAGATGATTGCACATGCCTAGAATCTGCAAGGGCTACCAAAGAAACCACTGCAGTAATTGCCTCTGGGAAGAGGAATTAGGCACTACTAAACTGACATATCACTCACTATATTACCTCTTGTACTTCTGGAATTTTTGCAAGGCATATGTATTACCTGTGTAATTTTGAGGAGGAAGAAATAAAAATTCTTTGTATGTGCCTGCAAGTTTAAGAGATGGAGTTAACCTGCACTCCTGCCCAGAAGGGTACTTCCCCAAATTTTCAGATCCTTCTTGACTCCTATAACAAAGATCATGGCTGGTGAATGACTCAACCTCATAAGTCATTGATTTAACTGTCATATTTAACAGGCCCCTCTGCAATGCTCAGGGAGATGCCATGACCAACAGGAAATCCCACGTCCTGGTTTTTATTGTACTTTTGTTATCATTGGGGCACTCTCTATGCCCACATAATTGCTTCCTCCTCTTCAAAATGTGATCATAATGAGGTAAAATATGTGCTCATAACAGACCTCAGAAAAGAGCCAAGTAAGCTGCTGCCCATAAAAGTGGAACAACTCTCCACAACGGCAATGAGTGGAACATGCAGCCCCTGATGCTGGCAGAGCCCACAGACACAGCAGCCTAGACTGACCCACATTTTGGTCCCGTGGTCTTCCTACTTGCAAAAAGCCTATGCCTGAGACTTGATACTAACTCGTATCATTCGTTATCCACTGAGAGTCTAGAATTCAAAAGGCATTCGAAATAAAGCTTCGTTTTCCAAAGAAGTAAGCTGTGACTTTGGTAGTTCAGTAGTCTTGGTGCTAGAAGAAGTGACAAAATTATGTTAACACAAACCAGCGGTGGAATCCAATTCTGAATATTTTCTTTTTACCCCTCCAAATCTCTCCCTACAACCTCCCCTCCCCACCCACCTGGCTTTCTGCTGATTTGTCCAGCTTGCATCTCCTGGTTCCCTGGTCCTTTGTCTCTGGCATTGCTTAGCCAATGTGAGGCAACTGTAGGAGTCAATTCTGCAGAAAGAAAAGAGACCAAGGTATTTGTTCCCTGGCTCTT